TCACCTCCAATTGTCATTTTCAAAGTCCTAAATTAATGACTCTGCTGGCCTTTTCTCTTTGTTGACTGTTCTTCTCTGTAGCGTTTAACAAAGCTGACCATGCTTCTGGATACATTTTCCCCTAAGGGTTTTCACTGTACTGCTCTTTCTTGGTTCTCCTCCTACCTGTCTGACCATTCCTTTTCAGCCTCTTTTGCCAGATGATCATCCACAACGTGCCTCCTAATTGTGGATGTATCCCAAATGATCAGATTGTTTCTGTGTCTTTTTTTTAAATTGACCCCTATTTACAATTAATTGGTTTTTGTCCTGTTGCTGCCAAAGTCACAGTTCTCTGTCTCTGAATTTAGTTCAGAAATTCAGCTAGCCTGTAATGAGTTATGTTTTGAATCAGTAATCATTGTTCTATTCTTGCCTCATGGAAATCTGTTATCTTTGAGGGACACAGGTACACGCTGGGGAGTCTGGTACACCACCAGTATCCTTCAAGGATGTCTGACCTGTTAACCAAAGAAGTGTGGTTCATCTCTAACCTTGCAGGTGAACTCAAACAACAAACATTTCTTACTCACAGAAGAGAAGGAGGAGGTTGTTGTTAGCCCCTCATTACCAATTTCCAATCAGTTATACTGTCCTCTACACTTCAGATCTGTAACCAATCATATTTTTAATTTAATATTTTATTTTTCAACAATAATACATTAAAAAAATTTAATATTTGTTTTTTAAAGTTTGAGTTCCAAATTCTTTCCCTTTCTTCCTCTCCTCCCTCACATTTAGAAGGCAACAATTTGACACAGGTTATACATGTTAGTCATGCAAAACATATTTCCATATGTAACCAATCATACTGATTTCACCTTTCATGATGTCAAATTCTTGTTCCCTGCTGTTAAATGAAGACCCAGGGCCCAAATGAAAGCATCCAATCACAGATTACAAATCATTTATTGTCTGAGAAGAACTTGCAAGAGAAACCTTGAAAGGGGCCACTAGGTGGCGCAGTGGATAGAGCACGGGCCCTGAAGTCAGGAGGACCTGAATTCAAAACCTGTCTCAGACCAGATACTTGACACTTACTAGCTGTGTGACCCTGGGCAAGGCACTTAACCCCAATTGCCTCGCAAAAAAAAAAAAGAAAGAAAAAAGAAACCTTGCAAAGGGGGAAAAGAGAGAAATAGAGAGAGAGAGAGAGAGAATTCTCAGCTGCTCAAAGAGGATATGGAAAAGAATGTGAGGTATTAATAGTTTGTAGAGGCTTTCGGGGGGGGGGGAGCAGGAGGGTTAAGAGAGAAGACATCAGTAGACACAATAAGCTGGGCAGCAGGATGTTTAGAAAGTCCCGAGCAAAGTCTGGAGTCAGCAACTTCTGTTCAGGGTTGCCCTTGAGCTGATCACGGCTGGTTCTATGGTTTCTGGCAACTACAGGCATCTCCAAATTCCACTAGAGTTCACTCACAAAGGATCACTAGCATGTCAAGCAGTTTTGGGCTTCAGAAATCCTTTTAATTGGCTGGTTGTTGTGTAACTCTATTGTGTTGCTCCCCTGTGAAGAAGCAAAGTTCTAACATACAGTATAATCATTACAGAGCCCTTGTTAACATTGCCTATGAAGTCCTGCTTTTTGTTCTGTAGTCCCCCAAAACTACAAAAGGAGCTGTTCTACTCATTCAGGGTCTTAGCTTTTGCTGAGGAAGCTGAGATTCTATTTATTGATAAATCCATGCTTTACTAGTAAATTGACCATGCTTGGAACTTTGCACCTCAGTTTACCTTATTTTGACTGTAACAGTTGGTGACCCATGAATGGATAGAAAAGAGAACTATCCCTGAAATAACACTTGAGGAAAAAATCCTAAGAGCTCAATGGTGGACTCTGCCACCTGAGGCTTTTTCCATGAAGGACTACAACCACAGACCTAATCCTCCTGGCCCCAAATCTCTTGAGGAAGATAAACCCCCACACCGTTAGGGAAGCTGCAGCTGTGTTTGTGTGTTTTCCTGTCTGTGTTTAAGTGTGACTGACTGGTAATAAGTGGTAACAGAAAACCCAGGACATTCCCCTAAAGGACTGATGCCTCTTAGGGCAATACTGAACCCTTCAAGATTTTTAATTTTTCAAGGTCGGCTCCTGGTTCTTATGAGAGGGCCACGAAGATCACTGAACCCGTGAAGGAAAACTTCCTCCTTCAGGGTCAGCATGTATGGGGGTGGAGGGGCGCGGGAAGGGGAGGAGACAGCAATCCTGGTCCAAGTCAGGAAGGGAGCCCATTTTCTAAGAGGTTGAGGAAGCCTATAAAGAGGGGATATTCCCAGTCATTAATTGAGGGATACTAAAAACTAAAGCAAAATTAGCCCAATACACATAAGGGTCCCAGAATTTGACCTAAAATACTATCTTCTAGAGGAAACCTTTCCTGATCCTTTTTAATTCTAAACCTTTTCCCTCTGTTGATTATTTCCAGTTTATCCTCTGTGAGAAATAACTCATTCAGACTCAGGGAGGATGAAGTTAAAAGCCCAGTTTATTATGCAGTTGCAAAAGCGGGAGTCCTAACACACACACCAGATCAAGAATCCTGGCCCCAGAGTTCCTCCTCTGTTTCCTCATTGGCTGAATACTCCAGAGTGTACAATTCTCTGGCACATCTATTACACCTCTACTCCTCAACAACATGTTCAGAAAATGGCATCTTAGCCCCCCCCAGAGGTGGAGAAGTGAGTATTCATGAGCATATTAAGCATGTGAACTCTAAGTAAAGCTTAACCTTTGTCCTACTTACTGACTTCTGCCACCAAAACAAGATTAAGACTGGCTGCACCTAGTTTTATTTAGTTACTTTTTCAGTGGTTGTTTCAATTTTATGGAAACAAACATTTTCGTTACATCTCTCATCCTCTATATAGCTTGTTTGTATGTAATTATTTGCATTTGTCTTCCCCCATTAGATCTTGACCTCCTCAAGATTAGAAATTGCCTTTTACCTTTTTTTTGTATCCCCAATGCACAGCACAGTGCCTGGCACCTAGTAGGTGCTTAAGGGCAGTAGATAGAGTGCTGGGCCGCGAGTCTCTTCTTGAATTCAAATCCAGCCACAGACACTTACTAGCTATGTGGCCCTGGGCATGCCATTTAACTTTGCTTGCCTCATTTTCCTGATCTGTAAAATGGGCTGGAGAAGGAAACAGCAAACCACTCTAGTATCTTTCCCAAGAAAACCCCAAAAAAGGGTCATGAAGATTTGGACATGACTGAAAAATGACTAAACAAATAATAAATTTAACCTGTAACTTTCAGAACTGTCTCGTATGTCAGTGAGTCTTACTGGCCTTTTTGTTTTCTCTCGTGTACATTTAAAAATGCCTCAATGATTCTCTTTTTCCTCTTTTTTCTTTTTTTTTTTTTGCTACCCTATCCCTAGCCTATCTCTAAAAAACAAAAATCTTATAACATATAAGCTTAATCAAGAAAAACAAATTCTCACATTGGCCACGTTTAAAAATATGTCTTATCTCACATCTTGACTCTATCACTGATCTGTTGGTCATTGCATTGTTCAGTTCTTAAGTCTTTGAAAGTTATCCATCTTTACAACATTATCATTATTGTAAAAATGTTTTCCCTGGCTCTGCTCACTTTATTCAAGTTGTCACAGGTTTCTCCAAAACTATCTCTTTCCTCATCCCTTTGGTGGCAATAATAATACATTACATTTGTGCAGTGGATAGGGTTGAACTTGGAGTCTGCCTCTGAAATCTTAAAGAGCTATACAAAGAAATACTAAACTGTGAAAGATAAAAATATGAATTAAAATTTCCTAAAAAGTTCTACTTTTATGTGATAAACTCCAAGTTCTTGCGCAAGAACTCATTGGTTAGGCCTATTTCCTAACACAAATATGGGGAAGAAAAAGCTTAAGTTCTGTCAAAGCAAATGTCACAGAAGAGCCAATGGTAGCATTCCATTGAGATTGGATATGGAACTCACCAATGAGTCAGAGGATCCCCTCAGACCCTTCTATTTCTATTTCTAACTGAAAAATCTCTTCTATAACATTCCCTAGAAATACTCATTTATTTATAGCAGCTCTTTTAGTGGTGGCAAAGAACTGGAAACTGAGGAGATGCTCATCAGTTGGGGAATGGCTGATCAAGTTGCATGTGACTGTGATGGAATACTATTGTGCTATTTAAAAAAAATGAAGAGCAAGATGCTCTCAGAAATACCTGGAACTGATGCAACTGATGAACCAATGACGACTGAACTGATGCAAAGTGAAATGAGCAGAACCAGAACATTGAATACATTAACAGCAATATTGTGTGATTATCAACTGAGAATGACTTAGCTATTCTAAGCAATACAACTGATCCAAGACAGTTTTGAAGGACTTATGATGAAAAATGCTACCCAGAACTGATGCAGTCTGAATGCTGATCAAAGCATACTTCTTCTTTATGTCTGTGTTTTCTTTCACAACATGACTAACATGGAAATATGTTTTGCATGACTGCACACGTCAAGTTGCTTGCCTTTTCAATGACGGAGAAGACAAAGGGAGAAAGAGAACTTGGAACTTAAAATTTGAAAAAAAAAGGTTAAAGGCTATTTTTACATATAACTGGGGAAGAAATAAAAATATTAAATAAATAAGAAATATTCAGTTGCCTTGAAGACCACAAGTGTGTGATGGGGGCAGTGGGGAAGGGGGAGGCGGTCTATGCCAATTCAACAACATTATGCAGCACGTGTAATGGGATCCTGCTACTTGATTCCTCACGATGGGAGCGCCTGGAAAGAGCCTGGGTTAATCAGCCTGGAGCCTGCCATACTGTGGTCAAGACCGGAAACCGTCCCTTCTTCAAGAGCAGCAGGACCCGACACGTCCGTAGGAGGCGGGCCGAGGCAAAGTTCTTCCGGGTAGGCTGGGAGAGGCGCCTGCGCAGTTCGTGTCACGACCCAGCCCCTCGGAAGGGCTTCCTCCTCTCCGGCTGGGCCTCCCGGCGTCGTTGGGGGCGGGGTCTGGACCATGCCGAGGCTCGGTTTCTCGGGGCTCGACGGGGAGGAGTTTGAGCTTTTGGCTTGAGGGGGCGGGGTGCCGGCCGGCTGTAGGCGAGCGGCCGGAGTTCCTCGGGAGAGATGGCGGCTACCTTCTTCGGGGAGGTAGTGAAGGTGCGGTCCCGAGCGGTGACGGAGGACGAGGAGGACGAGGAGGACCCCTGGGCGCCCGATAACCCGGAGGACCGAGAAGTCCGGCGCGAACTCGAGAGGAAGAGGTGAGGCCCCCGTGGTGCCCCGGAGCCCGCCCGCCCTCGGCGGCCACGCCGGCCCGGTGCCCGCCTGGACGGGCTTTGCTTCTGCTGGCTTTGCCCGAGGCTTCCGCGTGCGCCCAGGCGGGGATTTCCCCCGGGGGTGCTGGCCCGGGACAAGCGGGGGTGGGGGGGCTTCCCTCTTGGCCGAGAACTCCTTGAGTCAGAGAGCCCTGGACCCCCGCGGCGCAACGTAGAGCACAGGGGGGCACCGATGCGCGCGTGCGTGTGTGTGGGGGTGTGGGTGTGGGTGTGCTCGCGCGTGTGTGTATGTTTGCGTGCTTCAGTCATTTAGCCCCGTGCAGCTCTTCGTGACGCCTTGAGTCTTGTATGCCAGGCCCACGGTTATGCATTGAATCATCGTACAAAATCTCGGCTTTTTGTGCTTAATTGTTTCTGCTCCTGCAGAAAGAAGTCTTTGACTAGAGCCGGCAAAGTGAAAGTGGTTGAGAGGTTGTGGGGGGGGGGACAGTTCAGTGGATAGAGCCCTGGGCCAGAAGTCAGGAAAACAGGGGTTCAAATTTGGCCTTAGACACTTAGTAGCTGTGTGGCCCTGGACAAGTCACTTAACCTCTGTTTGCCTTAATCCACTGGAGAAGGAAATGGCAAACCTTTACCATATCTTTGCCGAGAAAAAAAAAATCTCTTGGACACTGTCAGGGTGAGTCAGACTTAACTGAACCAGAACAGTGCTTATATATCGCTTTAACCCAGAAGCACCAGGCCCTTAAGATGAAAAAGTTTTATTATAACCTCACTTTGAAATAAAAATTTTCATCTTCTCTATTCTTTATCTTAAGGATAAAAAAGGTTATTCAAGGCATTCTTAAATCCCAGTCCTTTTAAGATTTGCAAACAGCTTTACAAATAACTCATTTTATCCTCACGTGAGCCCTGAGAAGGTAGTGTATTTATTTTACAGATGAAGTGACTGAGGTTAAGGGAGTTATCCAAGATCTCACAGCTAAGTGTCTGAAGGTGGATTTGAACTCTGGTCTTCCTCACTTCAATTCCAGCACTGTTGTCCAGTGCCAATTAGCTATAGAATAACCTGTGTTAATAGAAGTGTGGTGCCCATAATGAGACGTTAATAGTTACACAGCACAAAGCATATCTGATGTCTTTTTACAGCTTTGCTGCCGCATTTAATAGAGATATTGACAGACAGGGACATGTCCAAAGTATGAGGAGGAAAATTAAAAGGATTAGTGGGTAATGATAGATACCAAAAAAGATTATCCATAAAACATTTTTTAAATGTTGAGAGGAAAACAAATTCATAAGAGTCCACAAATAGAGGGATTTTGTTACTACCTTGTTAGATGTAACATTTTATTTAAAAAAGCACTGTGACTAGTTCACCTGTTTGTTGTCCACTGTATGTTGAAATATGCCTGTTGATAGTTTTTAATCTCGCTATAAAAAAAGAAAATTTTAAAAAGAATTTATGGGAACTTAAATGGTGAAACATTTTCATTAAAGCTAAGGAATTAAAGGTGATTTCTTAAACTTTAACCATGTAACAAATATTAAGCACTTACTGTGTGAAGAATGATGTGCTAGTGTTAGGGCATATTCAGAATTTGATAAGATACAGGCTTTTGGTCTCAGTTTACAGACTAATACGGGGATGTCACAAACTCAGATATCTGTGATGGGAAAAGAATAAGCATTTATATAGCACCTGCTAGGCACTGTGCTTAAGTCCGTTCTACATATAGAATATTGGATGTGTTAGGAATAGAACAACATACTTGGTGAGGTTTGTTGAAGGGAAATTTCTACCTGAGTTGGGCTTGAATTGGAGGGCAGGGAGTGAGTAATTTGGAAATGGGGCAAGTAAGATTGTACAAGACCCCTAAGTGCCAAACTCAGGAGTTTGAACTGGATAGCCAACAGGAAGCCATTGGAGATTTTTGAGCAGAGGAGTGATGTGATCAGATTTATTAGGTTATTGCATGTGTATGTGACTGGATATATGGGAAAGTGGGGAGAGTAAAAGCAGGAAGCCATAAGAATAAAAGCTCTGGACACATCTGAATTTGACTCCTTTTTTACCCTTTTAAGTCAGACATTCTTAAACATTGTTGTGTCATGGATCATTTTGGCAGTCTGGTGAAGCCTCAGAACTCCTGCTCAGAATACTGTTCGTAAATGGATAAAATAAATACATAGAATTACAAAGGAAATACAGTTACCATCTTTGTCCTTGTGAGCAAGGCAAGTAGCCCTCCTCAGAGCTTCAAGCAATGTGTATTATGGGGATAATATTAGTTACTGTGCCTGCTTCCCTGGCGTGTTGTGAGGAAGGTCCTTTGTGAATATGCTGCATAAATGTTGCTTTTATTATAGCATCCTATTTGATGAAAAAGATAATGCTACCTTAGTGTCATTTCTTTCTTATTAACAGAGAAGTAGAGGTCCTTCAGACGCAGACAAACTTATCTTTGGAAATTCCCCTGCTAGAGCAGTATCCATGTTCAAAGTTTATAATGGCAGTAGGAAATAATGCGGTAGGTAAGTGAAAGTGCAACAAACTAGATATTTTGACAATTAAAAAATATATATGCGTGTGTGTATAAAATTACTATGTATCCATTATAAATTTTTTATGTGTTTACATGGATTCTTCATCTCATGCCTATAAGTTATTATTCTATTATTACATATCCCACACTTTCTCATTATGTGAATTTCACATCTCTGTCCTTTCCCTAAATCTTCTGCTGAGAATTCACTCTTCACACACTGGAAGTTTTCCTCGTGTTTTTTAATGTCTCATTAGCTAAACATGCATCTATTAGGCCAGGGTTTCTTAAGCGTTTTTGTCATGAATCCTTTTGGAAGTCTGGTGAGATAGGCTTTTCTTGGTTAAATAATTGAAGGAAATGCTAAATTTTAATTAAAGGTTAATGAAAATAAAGGTAATTTGTTTTCTTTCCAAGTTCAGTTCCTCTTGAATTTATTAAGTGCCAGCTACATGCCAGGAACCAAGCTAAGTGTTAAGGATATGGATAAGAAAAAGTGAGAAGGCTTTGCTCTTAAGGAGCTTACAGTCTAATAGGAGAAGACAGTACACAAAAGGAAACTGGAAAGAGAGGGGGACAGAGGGTACCTGGAATGAGAGCATGATGATGATGATGATGGTAGAGTGAAAACCAAGCAAAATAGCTTGGAGCAAATGAAGAGATAGCTAGGATTTTGAACTTTCTATAAAGGGAGGCTGTGGGAAAAATAGGTATTTTTATTGCTTTGTTTTGTTTTTGGTGGTGTTCCTCCTTTGTTAATGAATGGCCAATAATAGATGAGGCATGAATGTCAAAGCTGAGGCAGTGTTACATCAAAAATTTCTTCATTAGGCTGTTCCAGCTATTGTGTCTCATTCTGCTTATTTGACTGACTCCTTTACTTTCCTTTTGCCTTTTTCACTTTGTTCACATAGTTTATATTTGCTAATGTACGTCTTGTTACATCTACCATGTGTCTTTCCATTGTCCTTTCAAGTACCTACAGTTTGGATTCCTTTTAAATTAGGGCATTCTGTAATTAAGGCAACATAGTATAATGAAAAGTTCACTATATTTGGGGTGAAAAGACAGGATTGAGAGCCACCATTTTAACTAAGAGGTTGATGACAAAATGGAAGTTGCTTGGATCTTTAGTTTCTCCCCCAATTCTCCCCTTAGGTCCCTTCATCCCAGTAATTAAACCTATGCAAAAATGGAATAGGCTGCCTGGGGTGGCATGGGGTTCCTTACTATTAAGCAAAGACTGCATTTAGAAACCTTGCCTCCAACAATTTTCTCTCCCATTTGCAGTTGTTTCACTCCAAAGATTTACACAAGTTTGGTTCTCTAAATTATACATTAAAGTATTGGGTTCAACATGGTAATTTGTACGTGTTTTCATCCCCTGGTTACATAGCATAGCCATAGTTACATAGCTATATTAGATCTGTTTGTAGAGGAGATTCTTGTTCATATTTGATTGTACTAGAAGGCCACTGAAATCCATCCCACCTTCCCAATATTGATTGGCTTTCTTAACCAAGCAGAAGAGTTCCTATTTCAATTATGCAGGCTACTCTTTAATGGCTCAGTGCTGTTTCCTTCCCCAAAGTTGCTGGGGCTCATCTAGAGTAGTGTTAGATAGCTAGAAGAATATATTGCTATCTGGAGGGTCAGGCTCACCAGAAAAGGTAGAAGGTGGCATGTGACCCTCACTAGTAACCCTGAGTACTTTATCCTGAAGTTGGGGAGAAGGAGGGATCACTAAGTTTCAAAGACTGTATTGGTCCCTGAGGACTTGTATAAAGATCTTCTAGTGAGGGAAGTAACCCGTTTTTGTTGTTTTGTTAGTTGTCTTATAGAGCTTAGAACCATTTTCTTCCTTTGTAGAAAAGTTGTGAGACAGTGGCTAACTTAATCTGCACCATCAGCTAGGATTCGTAGAATATTAGAACTGAAAAGGCCATTAGGGATCATCTTCTCTAACTTGTTCAATTTTCACTCAAGGACCCAGAGCCTCATAGTAATGAGGTCACTGCACTGAACTAGAACGTAGGCATCTGGACTCTAAGTCTGTGGCTGTTTCTAGTGTTTGATCCTGTTTCTTACATGTTTTATCTTATACTAAATAAATTATTTAAATTTTTAAAAATCTCTTTCATAGTGTAGTAAAATACAACAAAGTTATAAAAGTAGTAATGTGTGTTAACCTTTTCTTCCTAGCATTTTTGTCTTCATTTGTTCTGAATTCAGAAACTTGGGAAGAAATTGGATCTACTAAGCTGTGGAATGAATGGTGCAGAACAACAGATACAACAAATCTTTCCCCAACAGATGCCTTTTGTGTGTTCTACCGTCTAAAGTCAGATCCTACAGTAAGTGAGATTTGTGTTGAAATTAAGCATAGACTACGTTTGTACGAGAAATCTTATAGATCATCTCATTGAACATTTTTTGTTTTATAACTAATAAGGAAACTGAAGTTCAGAGACATCAAGTAATATACTAATAGTCCCACGTCTAGTAGTAGAGTTTACACATTATATGTTTGGAATGTATATCCCAAGATTCTAATTTATTGCAGATAAAGTTTTTGGTTGTTGGTTTTTTGTTTTTTGTTTTATCAAGCAACTCAGGATTATGGCTGAATCCCATCCACACACATACATCAGAATCATTTAAGATTCTTTGAAAATTGTAACAGTAGAAATAACCTTAATAACTTCTGGTCATAAACATCAAGGAAGGTTAAAAAGAAAAAAAGGAAGATGTGTGTTTGACATGGGTGTTCATTGCAGTAGAAGGCCTAGTGCACAGTTCAGGTTGAAGATAGAATCTTTGTAGATGCAACCTCCAGTTACATCAGATATAGATGACATTGTGTTAATCGTGTTAAGCCCCAGAACATTACATAGCCTCCTGGAAGAGATTGTGTAATGACCCAAAGGATCAAAACAGGATCATATTGGATTACTTTTGGGATATTGCAGAGTTACTTTTGTGACTCCAAACTTGCTATGAGAGCAAAGTCTCATCTCTTAAATTACAGCATTATGCCAGTGTCTGATGTGGTAGTGAGATATGGAGAACAAATCTCCAAATAAAATTAACATCACATGGAGAACAAAGGTGCTTGGGGTAGGGTGGTTTGAATAGGCTGCAACATAACCAATGAGGAACTTCTAAGAACAATAAGAGCATAAGATGTTATCAAGGAATTATATGATAGAGAGAGAAAATAGGCTGGTTATGGGATGAGGCAAAAGGAATGACAGGTGAACAGCCAAAATGCCCTATTGCTACTGTCTCAAAATAAGGAAAAAGTGAAGAAGATCTCCAGGATGTTGGGTAGGTCCCCTTGGTAAACTTAGGGGAAGACATGGACAGTCGTCTCATGGGATAAGCAGCCATCAGTTGGTTCCTCTCCTCATCATTGACATGAACTGCCAAATCATTGAGATTCTAGATCCATTTGATTAATCACCTAATGTTAAGATGCTTTTTTTTTTTCCTCCTATGGCCTGCTTTGGGTCATTTTATTGTTGGACCTCAGGGGAATCAAGGCAAGGATCCTGGGACAATTGAATCAGTTGTCATTAGTTAACATTTCTTATAAATTTTTGATGGTGATGACAATGCTGATTTATATAATGCTTTCTGTGTGCCAAGCACTGTGCTAAGCACTTTACATTTATTACATCATTTGATCCTCACAACAACCTGTGAGAGACCTGCTATCATTATTCCCGTCTTACAAATGAGGAGACTGTGGCAGAGGTGAAGTGACTTGTCCAGGGTCATGTAGCTAGTGAGTGTCTGAGGCTATTTTGAAGATGAACTTAATCATAGGATCATAGATTTATACCTGCAAGGGATGTAGAGATAATCTAGTCCAGACAAGTGATGTGACTTGCCAGGCTTACCAGGTGGCAGAGTTGGGATTTAAATCTAGGTCTCCCGGGTCCAAGTCCAGCAAATTTTTGTGGGCCCCCCCCAACTAATGTTAGCTATTAGTTTCATGTATATTACAGATTTTATTTTTCCATTAACATTGATAAACAAGAATTGACATTATAAGAAATATAATTTGAATCATCAACCAACCTCCTTTTGGTGGGGATATGGTAGCTCCAGTGCACACAGTTAGCATTTTATGCACAAGCATATGTAGAACTTTATTTCTATGATGAGGCTATCTGCAACGGGCATCATTAGTTTATTTTAGTTGCCATGCCAGCTGAAAAGTGCATGTTGTTCTGGCATCAATCATAATTTGGAATTTAAAATGTATCCCTCTGTTGGTTTTCTTGATTCATTAATTTTCATTTAAAACAATAACAAAATAAACAGTCCCAGCAGCATACTTGAGAGCAAATATAAAAAGTGTATATATCTATTTGACAACTATTTTTGGTAGTAGTTATATGTTCATAAGATCACATGATATAAAGAAGTGGCTTGACAAAACACTTTGAATTTGTTTAGGTTTTCCTGTGCCAGTGCAGCTGCTATGTTGCTGAAGATCAACAATATCAGTGGCTTGAAAAGGTAACATTATAGAAAAAAATATATATTTTTTTTTACATATCTACTGTTTGCTCAGCATTGTGCTAGGGCCAGTGGAGATAAAGAAATATAGGCCATGGTCTTTGACCTTAAAGAGTTTATGATCTTTCATTATGAAAACAAGACCAATAATTTTAAAATAATTAGATTTCTTTTACACATTACGAGATAGTGGGGAGAATTACCTGCGTGAGTAGTATTGCATTTCCTAATTGAGATCTTGCTGAAAATATTTTTGTGTTAATTGCACTTTTGTTTTTTGCAAGACTGTGATAGAATAAGGAAATTAGTATTTACAAATCATTTGTATCCATAAGTGTCAAAGAATGTTAGAAATTTAAAAATCTGTAGACTTGTTTCAGCTTGCTCATCTTCTCAATTAAGGAATTGAGACACCGAGACTAGTTAAATAATACGTTCATAATGATAGTACCAAAAGGACAGGCCTCTAATGGGTTATATTATCTTTTAGAAGAAGAAAATTAATACACATCAAAAAACCATACTTTTCAGAGTGACAGAGAAGAAGCATATTGCTGTGTAAACAAACATAGTACATACAATTAGGTACACAATAAATACAGTTCTCACTTTTCTGACGAAATATTACAATTATGCTTATATTATTAAAATTAATTTTCTATGCCAGGTTTTTGGTTCTTCCCCGAAGAGAAATTTACAGATAACTATTCTTACTTCTCGTCATGTGACTGACTATAAAACTCCAGAATCCAGTTGCAACCTTCCTTCTCCCTTCCTGAAAGCCCTAAAAACACAGAGTTTCCAGGATGCTGCCTGCTGTACACTTTTAGAACAGCCAAATATCGTACATGATCTTCCTGCTGCAGGTGATTTTTAAATACAATTTTAAGTGGTTTTTTTGTTATTTCTAGCTTGATAGCCCAGGAATGTTCCATTGTTTGAGATCTCTTGAGGTATATTGAGTAATGGAAAATTATTGATTATTAAACCTTAGTTACCTTACATGCGAAATGATGTTATGGCTTAGGATAAAATTAACTGTGATCACTTCTGAGAATTTAGATTTTGCAAAAGGAACCTTTATGATAGTAAAACTTACTCATCTCTACCACTTAGCTTTTCCCTGTTCCTTCAGTTGTCAGTGCTTCCTTCCCCATGTTTTTCCCTAATAAAATATAACATGCTCATTGAGGGAAAGGGAAAGACTGCTTCATTTTTGTTTTTTTATCCCCAGCACCTAGCACCATTCGTGGGGATACTTTTAAAAATGCTTATTGGCTAATTTTTAATGTGATATTTTGAGTATAGTAGCCTATTTTCATTACTTAAACCATCTTCTAATGAATATATATTGTGTTTCAGGCTTAATTTTTTTTTTTATTTCCAGATTCACATTATGTTCTTTTGGTTTACTATGCACAGTAGAGACTTCCCATATATTGGCTTTGAAGTCATGATAACATAATTTGAATTTTGATACCTCTAAGACTACTAAAATAATGCTAGTTACATAATTTGTGAAATATTTGTCTACTAGCAACTACCTTGGTGAGGCTAATATGTTTTAATTAGATTAGTAGTTGCTGTCAGATGTTGAATTTTGGTTTTAGCTTAAAATTTTAGAGTATCTTATTTGTTGTTGTTGAGCTGTTTTCAGTCATGTTCAACTCTTCATGACCCCATTCTGAGATTTTCTTGGCAAAGATACTGGAGTGGCTTTGCCATTTGCTTCTCCAGTTCTCCTCATTTTACAGATGAGGAAACTAAGGCAAATAGGGTTAAGTGACTTGCCCAGAGTTACACAGCTAGTAAGTGCCTGAGGCCAGATATGAAGTTAGGAAGATGAGTCTTCTTTGACTTCAGGCCCAGCAGTCTATCCACTATGCCACCTAGCTGCCCCCACAGTACCTGATAACTATTGGTAATTGCGCCAGACTCTTACTGTAGTAAAGACTACCATTTTCTATTCACTGAAGCTGTCATTTTAATCTGTTAGTTAATTGTTAATGAACTTTTAACTGAATTTTAAAAAGAGGATCTTAGAAGTCATCTACTCGTACAATGCCATTGTTTTACAGAGGATAAAAATCTTCAGTAGCTGCTTCTTGCCACTTAGCATTTGTGCTAGCCACTCTGGCATCAGTCAGTAAAGGCTGAAGAAATGTAACCTAAATTTAATACTTATTTCCACTAAAAATTAAAAGGATAAATGTGCTGGGGGAAAGTATATATTCTAAAGTAAATTGAATTTATTTTTAAAGTAAATTTAAAATAAATTTAAATTGTTATTTAAGCTACTATATACCACAAAAGTAACTGAGATTTCACTAACTTGCCCTTAATATCTATAAGATTTACCTTATTGACTTTTTAATTTCATTCTTTTTCATTCCTCTTGTTTGCTCTTAGTTCTGAGTTACTGTCAAGTATGGAAAATTCCAGCAATTCTATACCTATGTTACACTGATATAATGAAACTAGACCTAGTTACAATTGAAGCTTTCAAACCAATACTTGGTTCAAAAAGCTTGAAAGGATTAGTTAAGGTAAGTTATTTTCTTGCTTATTATTTTAATCTGCTATTAAACATAAGCAGACCCAAACTAAGTCACTTCCTTGCTAACTTTGCAAGTAGGATTTCTAATTTATTATTAATAGACCTTATTTTACCAGTCTTACTAGAGGGACTATCTTGCATCACCCAACCCACAATAGGCAACTCCAGCAAAGAGTGATTGTACGACCCTATTCTTAACTGTTCACTGGCAACTAAGGCCCAGTAAGATGCTAGCAATTGATTTTCAAAAGCTGCATATTGAGTGGTGGTTTTGAGGAGCTGACAGCTCCCCCCAGCAGTGACTTGTTCTGCCTCCCCGTCGGTGCCTGCCAGAGGCTCCACCCAGATTGGTTTTTATAGACAATGATCTCTAGAAGCATGGATCCAAGGGGATAGATTGTTCAGTGTGATCGCCTACTTTATATTTTCCAGGGTTTTAGCCTATTCTTGGCCCACTTGAAAGCCATTGACACAATAAATAGGGGGACCATCAGGATATCCATGTAGGGAACATAAGTTTTCCAAAATCTAAAGAATTCAGAAAGCCTCTGGGCTGCTTCCCTCTTATATTATGGGGAAGCAGGTGTCAGTAGTTTATTTCAGACTGTTCCTAGAATCCTCTGAGCTTTTTACACCCATTGTATTATATGTGATAGACCTTTCCAATCAACCATCCAGGTTGTCTTGGGCTGGAAATTTGTTTCACTCTGTCTTTTTGTGGGTTTTGCTGCTCTTGGATTTGTTTAGAGCTATTTTTTAGATATTTGGAGGGGTTTGGGGGAGAGCTTAAGCAAGTCACTGCTTTTACTCTGCCATCTTGGCTCTGCCCCCCCCCGTTACTATTTTTTTAGTTTCAGTTTTATTGATGTGATTTTGTTTTTACATTATACACATTTATGTATTACTCCCTCTTCATGAAAGTTCTCTTGAAACAAAACAGCTAAGTAAAACTTACAGCATCCTCTCTGAAAGTTCATGTAACATTTCACATCTATAGCATCCCATCTCTCTCTTTAAAAAAAAATATTTTTTCTTCTACCCACCCTCCCACTCTACTGAGAATGAGAAAAAAATCACATTTCTTGTAACAAATAGCTGTAGTCAAGCAAAAGAATTCCCCTGATGACTGTTCACAAAAATATATATTCTTCATACCTGACCCTGAATCAGGCACTTTGGGGGCAGAGCCAAGATGGCAGAGTGAAGGTAGGGACTTGCCTGAGCTCTCCCCCAAACCCCTTCAAATACTTTAAAAAGTGACTCTGAACAAATCTTAGAGCAGCAGAACCCACAAAGAGACAGTGAGGCAGATTTCCAGCCCAAAACAACCTGGAAGGTTGACAGGAAAGGTCTGTTGCACCAGGCCGAGAGAAGAGCACAGTCCAGTGAAGGCCAAACTAGCGCAGACCTAGCCCCTGGAAAGCTGGCGCAGGCCTTAGGGGACTGAATCACTGGCAGCAGTGGAGGTTTCCAGACTTCTCAGCCCCCGATGCCAAAGACAGTTTAGAAGGTCAGCAAGAGAGGTCTGTCAGACCTGGGAGACAGAGAAGTGCAGGCCGCACCAATACAGCTCCAGCCCCACAAACAAGGAGCAGGCCTTGGGAGTGACTGAATTAGCAGCAGACAGAATGTTTGAAAGTCACCTATTTTGACTTCCAGGAGCCAAGATGGTGGAGTAAGCAGTAAGCTGCTCTCACCTTCCTTTATTGACCTTGAAAAATCCAGAGAATATTGCCCCAGGAAGAATCTTGGAATAGTGGAGCCAGCAGAAAGGCAAGGTGCATCAGTCTTTTAGCTCAGGGAGATAGGGGGATTAATAGGAAAGGTGCCTTTTGCTGTGGCTGAAGACCAGTACAGGATGGGAGGAGTCCCAGCAAGTCCCACCTCAGCAAACCAGCGGGAGATCCTGAGCCCCAGGATGATGGAGCAGGCAAGCGCCAACGCGAGGCACACACCAACCACCGCCATCAGCTCCAGGTATACTACCAGACCTCCCCCTACAGGCTGCCAACACATAAACCAGTAACCAGACCCCTAACCCCCAACACAGGAAGCATGGGACAGTGCCTCCTGTGCCCAAGAAGCAGAGATCAACTTTAAAAGCCAGAAAAAAGGCACACAGTATGAGCAAAAAGCAACAAAAGAAAACAGTGACCATAGAAAAGTATCTTGTGACAGTGAAGATCAAAACACAAATTCAGGAGAGGACAGCATTTTCAATATACCCATATCTGAAACCTCAAAGGGGAATATGAACTGGTCTCAAGCCTAAAAAGCCTTCTTGCAAGAGCTCAAGAAGGATTTTAAAAGTCATATTAGAAAGGTAGAAGAAAAATTGAATAAAGTTCTTTAAAAATACAATTTACAAAATAGAAAAAAAAAGTACACTAAAGAAAATAACTCCTTAAAAAGTAGAATTGGCCAAATGGAAAAGGAAGTACAAAAGCTAACTGAAGAAAACCATTCATTAAAAATTAGAATTGGGTAAGTGGAAGCTAATGACTCTGTGAGACATCAAGAATCAGTCAAACAAAATCAAAAGAATGGAAAAAATAGAAAAAAAACCATGAATTTTTCACTTCACTGTTATGAATAGTTTCATCATCGATCTTCTCATCATTGTATTGATCATAGTTCTTACAGCTTTCAAAGTTGTTTGTTTATCACCATATGGAAAAATTGCCCCAAATTGATACTAATTAGAGAAATTTAAATTAAAATATTTTTTATATCCTACTGCATCAGAGTGGCAAAGATGACAAGAAAGGAAAATGATAAATGTTAGAGATTCTGTAAGAAAGAAAGGCATATTGATGCACTCTTGATGGGCCTGTGAATGGGCACAACCATTCTGGAAAGCACTTTGGAATAGTACATAAGTTTATTAAACAATTTTGACCCAGTTTTACCACTGTTGGGCCTATACCCAAATGAGATCAAAGAAAGAGGAAAAAAAAGTCTTTGATGTATAAAAATATAGCACCTCTTTTTGTGGTATCAGAAAAAAGCTGGAACCTAAGAGAATGTCTAATAGTGGAATGAATGACTAAGTTGTGATTATATAATTGTGATGTATTTCTGTTGTGCTGTAAGAAATAGATGATTTCAAAAAAGACATGGAAAAACCTAATTGATGCAGAGTACAGCAGAAATAAGAACAATTTATACTGTAACAGTAGTATTGTTAAGGTAAACAATTTTGAGGATTTTTATAAGTTATGAAATGAGCAGAACCAAGAGGAAAAAGTCAGTCTTATTTTTAAAAGAATTAAAAGGAAAGAGAATAAGATATAACAATCATTCTGTTAAAAACACTGGAAAGAATAAGTGGATTTCTCCTTCATATAAGTACTATCTTAAACCCAAGAGCCAGCTAAAGGTGTTTCCAAGTAAGATCAGGGATAAAATAAAGATGTTTATTATAACCATTACTATTTGATATAATGTTAGCAATGCTAATTATAGTGATAGTACATTAAAAAGAAATTGAGAGAATAATCATAGGCAAAGAGGAAACACAGTTTTTGCTTTTTGTAGATGATAGGTTAGTATACTTAATGAACACTAGAGAATCAACTAAATCAATTCTGTAGTTATTGAGCAAAGTTGAATATAAAATAACACATAAGTCTCTGTATATTATCAATGAAACTCAGCAGGAAAAGATAGAGAAATTCCATTTAAAGTAACTACAGATCGTTGGGAGTCTACCTGTCAAGACATGCACAAGGACTATATATGAATACAACTATTTAGAAATAAGAACTTCTCAGTAATTGAAGAAACTTCAATTGTTTGTGATTAGGCCAAGTCAGTTTAATAAAAATGACAATACTACCTAAATTAATTTGCTTATTCAGTGCCAAACTGTCAAACTGCCATATTTCATCAGGAGGAAAAAAAGGTCAAGAATCTTAAGGGAAAGAATGAAAAATAAGTGGGAAGTAAAGGAGCCTAGAAGTGCCAGATCTGCAACTATATTACAAAGCAATGATCATCAAAACTATTTGATAGTTATTAAGAAATAGAGGTTGATTAGTGGAAGGATTAAGTACAAAACATACAGAAGCAAATGAATATGGTAGCATAGTGTTTGTTAAATTAAAAACCCCAGGCTATTGGGGTATAATCCAATTTAACAAAAACTTGGGAAAACTGGCAGTCTGACAGAAACTAGGTCCAGACCCACATCTCACATGACTTACCAAGGTAAGCTTCAAATGGATCTGTGACTTAGATATAAAAGTTGACAGAAATTAAAGAAGTAAGGAAGAAAATAGCTTTCAAAAGAATAGCTTATGGGAAATGAGTAAATTAAGGAATTGGGAAGTTAGGGTGTTTGAGAAAGTATCGGTATGTTTATTGAAGTCCCCTACTACGAGGGCAGGAATTGGGGAGGGGAGACATTGTAAACCAGGTGTGCTGAAATGAGGAAAAGAGTTTCCTTGAAGGCAATAGGAAACACCAACCAGTCTCTTGATTGGGTGATAAATATGGATTGAACAAACCTCAAAGGTGATGAGCAAGGAGTATTCTGACTCCCCTGCCATGACCATGGAGTTGGGAATATGAGTGAAAGTGCATACTGGAAGAGAGTGTCCAGTGGGTGAGCCAGAACTCAGTGCGTGCAGGAAGATAGAATGAGTAAGAAAGAAAAAGGTTTAAAATGAAAGCAAGTTTGTTAGCTATGGGACGTTATCCAAGAGCACAGTTAAATGGGGTGGGTAGATCTTGAGAGGAACCTAGAGGATGGGAACAAAGGAATAAGCAAAGGGGGGCTAAGAACAGGATTTTTACAGCCAGAGTTTCAGAATCACTGGAATGGAGAGGAAGAAAAGTAACGATTAAAGAATGAGTTTGGGTCGGTTATCATTGTCCCCAGAGAGCCAAGCAGCTGATGTGAAAATGGGCCAGGTCAGAGGGTGAGCCAGTAGTGGAGAGTAAGCAGTGAGTGAGTCTAGGCCTTCTCAGAATTTGGAAGTTCCAGATGGGAACGCAAGGTTCATTGATTTGGCTTCAAGGTAAAGTTATCATTAGGCCTCTAGCACTGGTGTGTAGGTAGAAAGCTTGAAAGAGGGGAGGGGCCAGGAAAACTAATGAAATGGCTGATTTAGGCAAGGCCATTTTTCCCAGGCAAGGCACCTTGTATGGAATTATAGCAGTGTGCTATGAAGGCTAATGCAGATGAGGAAATTGAGGCTGAGAAAAGTTAAGTGATTTGTTCAGAGTCACACAGCAATCATCTAAGACAAAATTCAAATTTGGATCTTCCTGACTCCAAGTCTTCTCCACTGCTAAAATTTTTTTTTAACTGTACTTTGTGTTTTTATTTCTTTTTAATTTTGTCATTCCATGATTTATTTGAATAAGGTAAAATTGGCTATCTTAAAAAGTTTTCTTACTCGCTGATTGGTTTCTTTTATTGGGAACTTTTATATCTGATCCACTGATTTGTGTAGTTGCTTGAGAGGTCCATAGTTTGCTAAATTATCATTTAGATACAAAATAGCATTAAGGATTGATTCTTGATCAGTTTCATCTTAGTTAAAGAGATTGGAAGAATTATTTGCTTAGCGATATTTAAACCATAATATTCCTATCCTCAGAAATTTATATTTAGCCTCGTTTATCTCACTTGTTAACACAATTGTTAAGTCAGTCGTTAAATGTGGGGATTTGTTTTGCTTGACACTACTTATTTATTACAAGAATTTTTTTTCCCAATGCAGGTGGTGAGAGGGAGAAAAAAAGATTTTTATTCATTATGGCAAACTAAAGACTATATCCACAGCCAGTGGGCAATTGAAACACTGCCAGAGAGAAAAGAAAGCTTATCAAATTATGACATGTTATTTTATTAACTATTTCTCTTTCAGAATGTTTCCCATGGTACAGAGATACTGAAGAAACTGGTGACAACAAATGAAATTCAGAGCAACATCTACACATGATTTTGTATTGATTTTTGAAAGTCATGGGCGTGAGTGGCAGAAAGAGAAATACCCTGTAGTTCTAACTAATTTACCTAGTGGAAGAAAGCAAAATAAAGAGTTTATTTTAAAGTAACCTGGGTTTATTTCGTTATTTCAGTGTGGGGTTAGATTTATGATTAAAACAAGTTTTTTTTTTCTGACTCTAGGCAAGAGTACTGTTAATAGCTTGTTTTAATTTTTTATAAGTTGTAATTATTATTTTTTAAAATGTTATAAGGAATATAGTCTTATATAAACTCTTGGCTTTCAACAAAGTTAAAACAGCATTAGCAGCAAAACCAATAAAATAAAATGCATTTACTCTGTGCTCCTTTATGTAAATTTCTGAATTCATCTTCACCATTTAAATTTCTGTTAACTTTGACTTCAAACAAACAATAACAAAAACAATTTGTAAACACTCCTGGCTCTGAAAAACTAGAGATGAATACCGCACAGATGACAATGGGAAAACACGTGGCAGATGTGGGCAGGCTGCAACATAGAACCAACTCTCAAGAACAGTAATACTGATAGAGAAGGTAGACTGGTAATATGGCAAGGACAAAGGATGACGGATGGACGTCTTTCTACTCTTACCCTTGCTCTATTATCCTTACCATAAATAACATGAAGAAGTGAAAAAGGTCTCCTATTCACTGGCAAATTTAGGAGTATGCAGGATAAATTGTGATCTGCATCATTGGAGGGAATTCTTGAATTAATAAGATCACAGAATCATTTGAGTATATAAGAATATATACATGTAAATTTTCTGAGATATAATTACAGTCATTTAGATGTTATGATTCAATTGTCTTATTTTAAAAATGCCATTTCTAATAGGTCTTTTCATATTCTTAGTATTTTCCTTTTTATATTACAACAAATTACCATATAAACATACTATAGTGTATTCAGCTCTTTTCCAGCCATTGGACAAAGGTTGTTTTGAATCTTATATTTTTGTAGAGATAGGGCCCATTTTTCCTTTTATGCTATTTTTAGCACTGAATCTCAGCAGTGGAATTCCTGAGGCAAATGTCATGATCAATTTGTGACTTGGAGTGCTGCAGTGTTTTTCTTCAAAAATTTTATACCAAAGATGGAAACATAAAAAGGTCAAGGAAGAGCTCAGCTTTCTCAAAGTACTCCAGCAAACATCCTGAAAAGGTGACCAGATCCAGTAATGATCAAGAAATTAGAAGATGAACAACATTAAGGGCCTTCATCCCAGGACTGGCCAAAAAAAACCAACCTTCTGGGCATTTCATTTCATTTGTTTATTTCATTTTATTTGAGGGGAAAATAAAAGAAAATGTACAGTAGCTACTATCAGAAATAGCTGACCTGTAAAAAAAAATCTAGATAATTTTAAGATATATCAGATTTCTTGAAAACCATGGCTAAACAACAAAAACAAAAAACAGGATGTGCAATTTCAAAATAATAAATTTTGCAAAAATGTTCACATCTTTTAGAACTTAAATGCAACGTGAAAGGGGGCGGGGGCAGGAAATCTACTGGTCTCCTCAAGAAAGATCAAATTAAAAAATACTGCAAACAGCTCAAAAAAGCATGAGAAGTACCAAGGAACCACAATTAGGATTATACAGGACATGGCAGCAACTACTTATCAAGTCTAAAGAAGCATTTCACATTTACTGTGTGCCAGGCTTGATGGATGAGGGCTAGGGATAAAAATGCAAAGACTAGGATTCTACAGTCCAAAAGGAGAGAGTGGTTTGGGAGGGAGAGCAAATCAGTTAGAAGGATCAGAAAAAGCTGCTGCTTGGTCTCACCCATGAAAGAAGAGAGGGGTGCTACAAAGTGAGGGTGATGTGTGAATTTCAAGCATGGGGGACAGCCAACGTTAGCGGAGAAAAATAGGAGATGAAATGTCTGTGAGCAATTGAGAAAAGGCCAGGTTGGGTAGTTCACAGAGTGCAGAAGGGAGAATAATATAAAATGAAGCAAAAAAAGGTAAGTTGGAGTCAGATTGTAAAGTATATTAAAATGTGTGTGTGTGTGTGTGTCTGTGTGTATTCTACAAATAATAGTCGCTAGAGGATATGGAGTAAAGTAAATGGTACTGGAAAATTCTTAGAAAATATTATGCCTAATTATGTGCCAACAAAATACTGCTTAAGTATTTACAAAAAGTATGAAGTATTTACAAAAATGTTAACTACCCAGATTAATAGAACAAGTAGAAATAGAAATTTTTAAGTAATCTACTCTCAGAAAAAGAAATTGAACATGTCATTTGTTCAAGTCATTTCAATCATGTCCAACTTTTCATGACCCAATTTAGGGTTTCCTTGGCAGTGATTTTCAGTTTCTCCAGTTCATTTTAAAAGATGAGGAACTGAGGTGGACAGGGTTAAGGGAACTTAAGTGAACTGGGCAAGCTCAGTGTTGCAAAGCTAGTGTCAGAGGCCAGATTTGAACTCAAGAACATGTCCCTGAACGTGCCATATCATAAATTATTTGGGGGCCAGAGTAAAGGACCAGATAGATTTATAGTGAATTCAGACTTTGAAAAATAAATAATTCCAGTGTTACATAAATTTTGTGAAACAATGTCTTAATTCCTGAACCAGGGAGAGACAAAGGAAAGGAAGAAAACTATAGACTAATATCTCATAACGAATATCAATGCAAAAGCATGTAACAAAACATTTTAAAATAGGCTACAGCAGAATATTAAACATTACTACAACAAAATATTATAGCTAAGTTAGATTTTTGCCAAGGGTGCAGGGTTGGTTGAATATTATAAAATGATAAATGTAATAGATAATAAAGTATTTATTAATTACCTACTATGTGCCAGGCACTGTGCTAAGCTCTGGGGATATAAAAAGAGGCAAAATAAAGTCCCTGCCCTCAAGGAATTTACAATCTAAAAGAGAAGGCAAACAAAGATGTACAAACCAGCAGCCACATGCAGGATAAATAAATGGAAATAATTAATAGAGGAACGGCATTAGAATTGTGATACGTTAGGAAAAGCTTTCTATAGAACAAGGAATTTTAGTTGGAACTTAAAGAAAGCTAGAGAAACCAATAAGCAAAGATGAGGAAGTTCCAAGTATGGGGGAACAGTCAGAGAAATGCCCAAAACCAAGCAGGGGAGTGTCTTGTTCATGGAACAGCCAGTGTCACTAGGTTGAAGAATACATGGCAGGGAATCAGATGTGAAAAGCCTGGAAAGGTAGGAGAAGGTTAGGTTATGAAGGGCTGTGAGTGCTAAATAGAGAATTTTGTATTTGATCCTGGAGGTAATAGGGAGCCACTGGAGTTTATTGGGGGGGGGGGGGGGGGGGGGAGAGGGTTGCCCCTGCACTTTAGAAGTCATTTCAGTGGCTGAATGGAGAAAAGATTGGAGTGGGTTGATACCTGAGGCAGGCCAACTCACCAGCAAGCTATTGCCATAGTCTAGGCATCACAGTGGTAGCAGTGTCAGAAGAGACAATGGTGCGTACTGGAGAGTGCTACAAAGGTAAAATTGGCAGGCCTTGACGATAGATTGGAAATGTGAGTGATGGGGGCTAGTAAGAGACAATGAGGAGTCAAGAATAACCACTGGGATCTAAGCGTGAGGGACTGGGAGAACAGTGTTGTGCCCCTCAGTAATGGGGAGCACAGGAAGGGGCAGGGAATGTTTAGAGAGAAAGGAAATCAGTTCAGTTTGGGCATGTTGAGTTAACTGACTATCCAATTCCATGCATTAGAAGTTCAAGATTGGAGGTCAACACAGAGACTGGTGCAGAATGGGTGGATTTAAGAATCATCATAATTAAATCCATGGGAGCTAATGAGATCACCAAATGAAGCAGTATAGAGGGAGAAAAGAAGAGGGCTCAGGACAGAACCCTGTGGGACCCCTATAGTTAAAGAACATGGTCTGGATGAGGATTCAGCAAAATAGACTGAGAAGGAGAGTCTGATAGGTAGGAGAACCAGGAGAGGGTGGTGTCCAAAAGCCTAGAATTTTTTCCGTAATATATGAGACAAGATTTTCAGCTGAGAAGGTGTGGGGAGGGGGAGTGTCACAAGAGGTTTGAGTAGGGGGGACTGGATAGTGAGTGGTAAGGCAGATATAAAAAGATTACCTAGCAGTAATGAGGACGCAGGGGAGATTATATGACATCATTTAGTGGTGGATACAATCAGAGGGAACTAAGTGGCACAGTGGATAACACTGGGCTTGGAATCAGGAAGACATGAGTTCAAATTCAGCCTCAGATACTTATTAGCTGTGTGACGGTGGACAAGTCACTTAATTCTGTTTGCCTCAGTTTCCTCATCTATAAAATGAGCCGGAGAAGGAAATGGCAAACTGTTCCAGTATCTCTACCAGGAAAGCCTCATATGGGGTCAAAGATTCAGACAAGACTGAAAGGGCTAAACAACAAACAACAACAATTGTGTTTGCGGGGGCAGCTACATAACAGTGGATAAAGTGTGAGGCCTGGAGTCAGAGACTCACTTTCCTGAGTTCAAACTTGGCCTCACAGGCAGCTAGGTAGCGCGGTGAATAGAGCTCCAGCCTTGGAGTCGAGGACCTGAGTTCAAATGCGGCCTCAGACCAAACACTTAATACTTACTAGCTGTGTGACCCAACCCCGATTGCCTCACCAAATAAATAAATAAATAAATAATCTGGCCTCAGACACTTACTAGCTTTTGTGACCTGGGCATGTCATTTAACCTTGTTGGCCTCAATTTCCTCATCTGTAAAAATGAACTGGAGAAGGAAATGGCAAACCACTCCAGTATCTTTGCCAAGAAAACCCCAAATGGGGTCACGAAGAGTCAGACGTGAACTATCACAACAACTGCAAGAACAACAAGAACCAGAAAAGTTGTACTTCTCATCTCCATTGCATGTGCATAGGGAGCAAAGACAGCAGATAGTGCAAGTCATCCAAAGCTGAGGAGGCTGAGGCAGGGCATGATTGATGAAATTGGAAGGGGATTAAGGATTCGAGAGAGAAGGACAACATAGAGTTGGCCCGGTTCACCAAGGGATCAAGATGGGGGAAATATAAGAGTGGCAAATGCTGGGGAGATGGCTCGGGAGAAAAT